GGAGTATGTTCTGTGCTCACTTTTGACAGCGGGCCTTGAACAGTTCCTCGAGGGATGCCAGAGGACAACCTGTGATTTTTTGAGCTGTGTTTATAAGTCTTTGGAGTGCTTTCCTGTCTGCTGCAGTACAGCTGCTAAACCACACGCACAGGCAGTATGTCAAAATGCTCTCTATGGAACAGTGGTAGAAGGACACCAGCAGGTTTTGGGTCCGGTGGTTGTTCCTGAGAACCTGCAGAAAATGCAGTCTCTGCTGGGCCTTCTTGACATTTGTGGTGGTGTTAACACTCCATGTGAGGTCGTCCTTCAGATGTACTCCCAGGAACCAGAAGTCAAAGACCCTCTCCACACTGTCTCCTCCGATGAACAGTGGTTGAATGACGTTCTTTTTTGCCCTCCTAAAGTCTACCACCATCTCTTTTGTCTTGGTAGTGTTTAGGATCAGGTTGTTTTCTGTGCACCACACCAACAGCCGCTTCACCTCATCCCGATACGCTGACTAATACCCCCCGAGATGAGCCCCACCACGGTGGTGTCATCAGCGAACTTTATGATGCAGTTGCTGGCCTGTGTGGGGGTACAGTTATGTGTGTATAGGGTGAAGAATAGTGGACTCAGCACACAGCCCTGTGGAGAGCCTGTGCTGAGGCTGATGGCTGAGGAGAGGTGGGCACCTACTCTTACCCTCTGGGGGCGGTCTGGAGTGTGGTATTCCCGGTTTGACAGTTTGGTCACCAGTCTGTCAGGTAGGATGGTATTAAAAGCAGAGCTGAAGTCCACGAAGAGCAACCGAGTGTAGCTCCCCTGCTGCTCCAGGTGGGAAAGAGCAGAGTGGTGAGCTGTGGGGATGGCGTCTTCTGTGGACCTATTTGCTCTGTAGGCAAACTGGTGGGGGTCGAGCCTGGGGGGGAGACTAGAGGTGATGTGGGCACGGACAAGCTTTCATAAGCATTTCATAGCAAACGTTGTAGGGGCTACTGGCCGATAGTCATTCAAACCACTGATGATGTTCTTCTTGGGGAGGGGAACAATGATGGAGAACTTCAGACAGGGAGGGACAGCAGCCTGACTCAGGGACTGGTTAAAGATGCTGGTGAAGATGCCGGCCAGCTGAGCCGTACAGTACTTCAGCACCCTTCCAGGGACACCATCAGGACCGGCAGCTTTCCTGGGGTTCACAGCTCTCAGCGTACGCCTCACCTGCTGCTCCTCCAAAATGAGGACATCACTGCTGCAAGCTGATGAATATTGCACAGCTATCTCTGGTTGCAGCACCTCAAAGCGAGCAAAGAAGTTGTTCAGCTCCTCCGCCGGTAAGGCGTTGCTGTTGGTGACTGATGGGCTGGTAGATCTGTAGTTGGTGATGTTCTGTATTCCTTGCCACACCTGCTGGGAGTCACTGCTCTGGAAGCATTTCTCGGTCCTCCTCCTGTAGGCAGCTTTGGCCTCCCTGGTGCCCCTCCCCAGGTTGGCTCTGGCGGTGTTGTACAGCACCCCATCACCAGATCTGAAGGCAATGTTTCTTTCTCTGAGCAGGTTCTCGACCTTCCCGTTCATCCATGGCTTCCTGTTTGGATAGATCTGGATGTTCTTATCCACAGTGACGTTGTCGGTGCAGAAATTGATGTACCCCAAAACAGCTGAGGTGTACTGCTCCAGGTTCTGATGCTTGAAAACATCCCAGTTTGTTGTTTCAAAGCAGTCCAGCAGCTGTTGGGAGGCACCTTCCGGCCAGGCCTGAACAGTTTTGGATGTGATAAGAGCAGTTTTACTGAGGGGGGTGTATGCTGGTATCGTAAGCAGGGACAAGTGGTCTGACTGGCCCAGATGTGTCTTCTGTCTCACCTCCAGCTCCACCTCCTGCTGTTCGGCTCCTGCTACACCTCCTCTTATACCTTCTGTTACACCTCACGCTACATCTCCTACTACACCTTCTGTTACACTTTCTGTCTCACCTTCTGCTAAACTTCCTGTTCCACCTTCTGTTATACCCTCTGTTACACTTCCTGTTACACCTCCTGCAACACCCTCTGTCTCACCTGCTGCTACACCTTCTGTTACACTTCCTGTTACACCTCCTGCTACACCTTCTGTCTCACCTGCTGCTACACGTCCTGCTGCCACTACACACAGGTTTCACTTCCTGGACTCTGAGTTCTCAATATCACCCGACATAGTCGTTGTCTTCACTCAGCTCTCGAAGGGAAATATTTCCAACCATCAACCATCACAGCATGGCATCACCTCACGTTACTCGACAAACCCCCGCCGTTCATGTGACGAACATGTAACAATCATGTGATGAACACAGTAACTAGAACATATTATCATTGATTATTTTAAATATTAACTGTTG